CTGACAACCTATCCCAAGCCTCATGTTCCAGCCAAGAACCATAATCACAAGCCCACTGCCATCGGGTTGATTCCAACTCACGGAGATCCTGTGGGGTGTTCCTGAGATGAGAAGCCTTTACAGGAGCAGACAACCTCAGCCTTAACCCTTGGAGAAGCTGGTGGACTTGAACCGCTGACTCCACCTGGAGCAGCCAATGCTTAGCCCACCACACCACCTGGGCTCCTTCTAGTGCCACCTAAATCCCAATCCCAGCCACTCAGAGGGCTCCTTGTCCTGGTCAGAGATGAGACGGCTCAGGCAAAGAAAGCCCATTCGGCCATGCCTTTTGCTTCGGAAGATAACCACGCGTGTTGTTTTTGGCTTGTTTTTGTGTTTACTTTAAGCAAAGTGAAGGTATCAACCTGGAGGCAAACAAGTCTCCTGGTGTCATTTTTTCCAACAACAGCTTCCTGTCTCCATGCCATATGGGGGTGGGGGGCAGTGTCATTGTCACAACCCTCCAAGTTCCCCATCCCGCGATTTCACCCCCATGGACTGCACTCTCACTCATAACTCTACTGCCCCGAGTTGACACTGACTCACCGTGACCCCAGAGGGTAGAGGAGAGCGGCCCGGTGGGTTTAGATGGAGTAGAACTCCCCTGTGGGTTTCCAAGACTTTTTTTTTTTAATCAATTTATTGGGGCTCATACAATTCATCACAATACATAGATCAATTGTGTAAAGCACATCTATACATTTGTTGCCCTCATCATTCCCAAAATTCGCTTGCCTCTTGGGTTCCCGGAACCTGCTAATTTTCCTCCCGCCCCCCTCCCCTTCCTTTCCTCCTCCCCTCTCCCCCATGCACCCTTAATAATTTAAAAATTATTATTTTATCTTATATTACACTGTCCGGCGTCTCCCTTCACCCACCCCTCTGCTGCCCATCCCCCAGAGTGGAGGTTATATGTAGCTCCCTGTGATCCATTCCCCCTTACTACATCCCCTTCTCCTCCTGGTATCGCCACTGTCACCCCTGGTCCTGAGGGGTTCCTCTGTCCTAGATTCCCTGCGTTTCCAATTCCCATCTGTACTGCTGTGCATCATCTGGTCCAACCAGGTCTGCAAGGCAAAATTGGGGTCCTGGTAGTTGGGGGGAGGGGGTTTCCAAGACTTAAGTCTTTACAGCAGCAGACACCTGCAAGCTTCTAAGCAGCAGCTGGGGGATTCGAACCACTTAACTTTCCGTTAGTGCCACCAGGCCCCCTTTTATAGTGCCAACTAAACCCTCCTGTGTGCTGGGCCACCAAAAACTGTGTGCTTGGCTCAGCTGCCTGCGCTACTCACTTGGACAGGTGGTCTGGGACAGAAGCTGCAGCGTCCCCAGCTCCGCCTGTCCCCACACCAGGCCAGGCAGAGCCTTTCTCCCGCAGGCAGATCAGGAAGCCACTCTCTTCTCTTTTGATCTCAGAGCTGGAGGGGCCTGCCACCACCCAGGTGGAGGCCAGCAGCCAGCCGGCAGACCATCGCTGGGCCCTGGGCGAGCAGAAAGGCTGTCCCTGTGAGCACCCACACCCTACCCCTGGACCAACTCTGTGGCTGGGTGACAACAAGCGCCCACAAACCCCCCTGAAGCTTGAGCAGTTCCGTGGGAGTCTGCCACTCGCCACCACCTCCCTAAGCAAACAGTCTGCCTGCCGGCTTCCCGTCTTTGTTGTCCTTTGATTATTTGAATGTTTTCACCATGGCTGGGCCCGAGTCTCATAATTAAAAAAAAACAAAGTCACAGAGCTCTTTGGCTTTGAAAGCCAAGTCCATAACCCACAGCTCATTCCCTGGGCACACCTGGCTTAGTCTCTGCTAGGGCCCACCTTGGCCCTCCCAGGTTGGGGATCCTGGGAGATGTGTCATAGGGGCTGCAGTGGGACCCTGTATTTCTAGGACCCTGAGCCCGGGAAGCCCCATCTGCCCAGCCAGGGTCAGCCTTGGACTGTAGCCCCACCTGCCCAGCAGCTGGAGCCAGGACTCTTTACGCACACTTGCCAGGCTGTGACACCAAGTATGATTAGGATCTTGAGTGTGACCCACTGGTCTCCAGGGCCTTGGTATGGGCGAGTGGCCGCCTGGGTGTGGCCAAAGCACATTCTGGAATGGGTAGGCATCAGCCCAGAAGCCCCCAGGCTTCAGGGCCCTGGGCAAGTCACTTTCTGAGCCCAATGCGGTACTGCTTCTGAAAATCAAAGCTGGTGAGTAGCCGGGACATGCACCCAGGGATGCCCCAGGTCCTAGGGAAAGGGAGAGTCACCTTTACCCCCCAGCCCCGATCATTTTTCACCTAGGTGAGATACTGGCCCCCCAGCCCCGATCGTTTTTCACCTAGGTAAGTAATTGGGGTTCCTGATGCGCTCTACTGCTGACTTGAAAGGCTGGGGGTTCGAGTCCTCCCACCCACCTCTCCCAGCACTGCACAAGACCTGGCAATGGACTTGAGAAAACCAAGTGGTCCGGGGGTGCAGCCTCACCCTGACGCACAGGGCCACACAGCGTGGCCATGCGTCGCGGTTGAATCATCCGCACCAGGAGCAGGAACTTGGCTACATCATTTTCACGTGTCCTCATTTGCACAATGGCTGGGCGGGCCGGGTAGGACTGCAACTCAGCCCGCTGAGCTCCTCCTCGCCTCCCTCGGCTCCTGTCTGCGCGCTCACCCAGGGTGCCACGGAGGATGAGTGGATGCGGGCGGGGCTCCTAGCCAGGGAGATGGCACTGAGCAGAGTTCTGCAGCCTGCTCAAGTGCCAGAGGGCGGGGGGAGCATGAGGGGAAGCCCCAAGAAAGACCTCACAAGGCCAGACCCACCAGAGCAGCCAGGCAGGCTTCCTGCAGGAGGCGGCTTTGCAGCCAGCAACCTGAGCCCAGCGGAGGGAGTGAGCAAGCGGGGAGGGAGGACTTGGAAGGACATCCAGGCTCGAAGAGGTGATGCAAACGGCCAGAGAGAATGAGTCCCTTCACCCAAACAGGAGCGGGTGTGGGCCCGCAGGGGGGTTGCAGTACTTCCGGAGAGCCAGCCCGAGGGGCCCACGCTGCCCTGCCCCTAAGTGGTCCAGTCCTTCCACACCACCCTCTCCAGGAAGTCTTCTGGCTGGCAGGTGGGCTCCGGGGCCCTTTTTCTCTCTTTAGAGAGCCTTCTCTGAGTCCTGAGATGCCAGCTGCCACCCTGGGCACCTCCCTTCTGAGAACTCATTGCCACCACACATCCACTCTGCCAGCAAGATGCCCTGTGCCCCTTGGACTGGACCAGCGGGGCTGTAGCCCAGAGCGCCTGGATCTCACAGGGATAGGGCGAGGTGCCTGGTTCATGCACTGTGACTTCATTAGGGACCAGGATGCTGGCTGGAGTGGCTTCCCACCCCTAGCCAGTGAGTCCTGCCAGGAGAAACCCAGGATCAGCCCAAGGGTGGAGGGGACCCCTGGCTCCAGCCTTCTCCTGTGACCACCTCCAGGAAGGACCACCTCTTTGGACAACATCCTATGGACCTGCTATCGGGAGGGCCCAGTTCCTGGAGAAGGACTCCATGCTTGGCACAGCAGAGGGTCAAAGAAAGCAAAGAGGACCCCCCACGAGGCAGGTGGACACGCGGACACAGCATAAGCACTGTAGGGATGGTGCAAGACCGGACAGTGCTTCCTTCTGTCTCTCGTGAGTCAGAACCGACTCCATGGCTCCAACAACCCCTCACAGGAGAAGGCCAGCCTCACAAAGCTGCCCAGCAGTCCAGCCCTGGCGGCCCTGGCCGGGCCCGGGACAGCGGCGGCCACCACTAAATACACTCCAGGCTTGAAAGATGCGAGCACCACGTCAAAAGAAAATGTTTTGGAAATGCTGGGGGCGACATCTGTACAAGTGTGCTCAAAACAATCACATGATGGATTGCTATAAGATTTGTAAGAGCCCCAATAAAATGACTACTAGAAAGAGAAAGAAAGATGCAGGCGCACCGGGGCTAACTGTTCCCATCATCTTGGGTGGGGCAGAAGACAGCGGGTGGGGCAGGGGGCTCTCACACATTAACAGGCAAGACATCAACACACAGAATCAACCCAAACAGCCCTTTGAAGCCAGGCAAAGCCAGTCACCAAATGCATGACGTAGCATTGTTTCATCGGGTGGACTGCAGGGAGGGGAGGTTTGCCGGAAGACGAGGGCAGGTGGTGGTTACAGCATAGGATAATCTGGAAAGTGACCACAGGGGTGTGACTGGCTGGCTGGGAGCGAGGGAGCAAGTGAGGAGAATGTGTGTCCAACAAACGCTCTAATGAACAGCCGGCAAGACCTGGACGTGCTGGGCAGATCCAGGAAATGACCTGAGTGTGGGCTAGTCGGGAATGAGGGCAGTCTACAGAATGGGTAGCCCGGGAGGTGGGGAGGCCCTCACAAGGCAGTTCACCACAGGGGAGGCCATGGGGGGCCCTGACCGGCAAGGTGGAATGCTCTAGAATCCTGCTACAGTCCTGATTGGCTTGGGGACTTCGTGGTCTCACCACCGGAGGGGGGGCGGCACAGAGGGAGTGATGCCGCTAAGGACCCGCCCGTGGCCACCCAGCTGCCCTCACTGGCGTGGCCCGCGTCCCTGGGGTGTCCCTTGGACCGAGAGGCTCTGCACCTGGCGTTTGCAAGCTGTCTGGAGTTTGGACCCAAGGCCCCATCCGCGGGTGTGGCGTTCCTCCCATAGTCCCATCGCATGGCACCAGCGTCCCACACACCCTGGGGACACGACGGGTTGTCACGGGTCCTGGGGCGCTGCGCGGCGCACACCCTCGGTGCAGCGGTCGCGGCATGCCCGTGCTGAGGCTCACCCTGTCTCCCGGAGCCCCCCATCCCCGCTCACCCAGCCTCGGGTGCCCCAGCCTGAGATCGGACTTGCCCCGCCCCAGAGTCTCTCATCCGCAGGTGGCCCCAGCTGCGGGGGGGCGGGGTCGCTCGGTCCCCGCCAGCCTGGCGCCCCAACCCGACTCACCCAGCATCTCCTTGCGCCTCTGCGTGTGCGGCTGGTCCGTGTAGACCCACTCGAAGTCGATTCGGCCCGCTCTGTTGCCCATGCTGGGTGACTCGGGAGCCAGTCCGCCGGCTCTGCACCTGCCACCGCCGGTATCTCCAGTCTAATTCAGGGCGCGCAGGCGGGGCCGGGCCGGGGCGGGGCTGCCCCTGAACAATCTCTGCCCCTGATGGAAATAGGCGAGAGTGCACCTGGCAGTCAGGCCACCTGTACGCGGGGTCCCACTGCCACCTGCAGGCCGCTTGGGGCCCGAGGTCCCTAAGAGGATGCAGGTAGACCGAAGGAGCTCTGGAAAGGTGGGCTGCAGCAGTTTCTCCCTCGCCTGTCCCCTTTCCTGCTGCTGTCCTTTCCCCAAAGGATCACAGAGGACAGGGATTTTTGTTATGGGTTTTGAAGAATGAGTAGGAGTTGACCAAAATGCAGAAGGAGGTGGTCCGATGGTGTAGGAAACAGCAAGGACAAAGGCTCAGGGGAGCGAGGTCAGGAGCCAGGCATTCTTAGAACGGAGAGTTTGGCTCTGGGGGTGGAGATCCAGGGCTCCTCATCCGCATCTCTCAATGGTGCCCTTCTCCTCCCCTCCTCCCCTCCTAGGAGATTGTGTACCTGAGGACAGCAGCCCCGCCTCTGCTCCAAGCTCCCCAGGCAGAAGCTCCAGATACCTCCAAGCAGGCCCTGGGCCAAGCAAGACCCCAGGTGTGGTATTCGTAGCCTGTGCCCTCAATCCAGAGCTGAAGGCAGCCCTGGGCATGACGCTGGGGAGAGGCCACCTCCTGCACAGGAGTCAGCCAAGAGAACACTAGCGAGAAGACATGCTTGTTCCTTGCCCAACAGGGAGACGCAGTGCCCAGCACGGGAGGGTCACCTGGCCCAGTTTGCATGCTGAGACAGTGAGATGGTCCACTCTCTTCCCAGCCAGAAGGGCCCTCAGAGGTCATCCTGCCAGCCACCGCCCCACAGATGGGGAAACTGAGGCAGGACCCACCTAAGTCACATAGCAGGCAACAGCAGAGGAACCTCCATCCCTGACCTTTGACTCAAAAGGCCCCCACCACCAGAACATCTGCGTCTCTGTTGAACTTGGTGAGCTCTGTGCTGATAAAGCTTGAAACTGGGTCCCAGCCATGCCCCCTGGGACAAGACCAAGCTTGCCAGTTCCCGCTGCCCCAGGGCAGCAACCAGAACACTGCACCCAGGCAATGCCAAGCACACAGCCTGGCCAGTGAAACCAGTCCAGTGGCCCCGTTGTACCCACGAGAACATGGAGCCAAAAAAAAGTTGGGGCCAAAGACACATCAGAAGAAGATAGGAGGTGGGGCAAAGAGGGGTCCCCAAGTCCAGTGCTGCGGTGACATAATCCCAGCGTGCCCGGGGTCGTACCATAAAAAATAAACTCGATTTTATGATGGTAAACCGGAGTGCCCTCATTCTGCCCGATAACCCACTGCCCTCTGCCTCACAGCATGTCACAGGGAGGCTGTACTTCCGCCAACCACTGGCCTGCCCGTTCGCCCTCCAGCGATTAACCCCCGCACCCCCGGCTTCCTCCGCCTTGCCCGTCTCCTAGACATGGAAGAAAAGCAGTCTGTTTGCAGCATGGTGCCCCAAGTGCTCTCTGACCATGCTTTCTTCCTGGAAGAGGGAAAAAACGTAGAGAAGCGGCAACAGCGGAGCCAGATGTGAACAATAGAGCGATCCAGGTGTGGGCGGGGAGAGAACTCAGTGTGCCATCTTTGGGATCTGTCTATAACCTTCAAAGTTTTCCAGAAAGAAGGTGAATTTTAACCGCAAGCGCGTGCGTGTGTGTGTGTGTGTGTGTGTGTGTGTGTGTGTGTGTATAGTGTGTGTATGGGGGGTGGGTTGCAGCCAGCAAAGCACTAAAACATTTCTTGTGAATCAGAAGCAAAGACCCCCACATAGCCAGCCACTGGGGCCCCCTCCCCTCTCCCTGGACAGGGCAGCAGTCAGGAGATTTGCAGGATCAATGGGATCCTGAGTGGGGTGGTGGTGGTGGTGGTGGGGTGTCCATGGATCAGAGTGCGCAGTGTCTGCTGATTCAAAGGGGGAGCAGGGAGCGCCCACACCCAGAAATCTTAGCCTCTCTGGTTGGAAACCCCAGTAGAAAGAAGGCCCTCTTGGCCCCACGTTTGTAAGAAACAGGCCAGATGCAGTCCAGCCTGCCCTATCCAGTCTGCCCCGAAATCTGCCAAGCCACGGGGCTGTGGCCCAGTGTCCGCACACACGGGAGCACACGGAGGTGCTGGAGAGCCAGCGTCAAACGGTGCGAGAACCAGAGCAGGGGCTTCCAAGAGCCCTGAAACGGTTTCACTCAAAAGAATAGAATAAACTCGAAGTGGACAGTTTTTAAAAATGTTCATCAAATGGCGATAAAGAATGAGCCCCAAGCTGGAATGAAGCATGTGGACCAGCTAAGGAGGCCAGGTTCAACGTCCCCGTCACATGTGGACCAGCTAAGGAGGCCAGGTTCAACGTCCCCGTCACATGTGGACCAGCTAAGGAGGCCAGGTTCAACGTCCCCGTCATCCGGCTTAGGGAGGGAAGGATGGAGAAGATGAAAGGAGGGTGACATCTCGCTCCACCTGCCTTATTTTCCCCCCGACTGACATTATAATTACGATTTAATTATACACACTTATGGCTAACCCCACGTGTAGCATGTATTTATTTGCTTATTTACTGCCTATTCCCACCACTAGAATATCTTGTTCTCTTGTCTTTTTCTCAACCTCCTCCCTCACAAGGAGGGAGGGGTGGGAGGAGGGGGAGCCAACAAACCCAGGCCCAATAAGAGATGTAAAATCGATGGCCAGGATGGCGTAGAATGCCTAGTGGGGTTCGATCAAGGGCTGAATCCAACCTGAGCCTCTGGGAGTACGGCTTCAACTGTTTTTAAAATGTGCCCATTCTAAAACACGTGACCCAAGAGAATACTCAAATGATAAAACATTATCATTGATATCACATGCATGCTGCTGGACATCATTGCTGATGTCCAAGGGATCTATCTGTTGGACGACATGCAGTAAATAATAAGCACAAAAACAAAACAGAGCAAAACAACAACAAAAACCCAATGAAAAAACAAAATAAAGACTCAAGGAAGTTCAACGCAGAGAGAGTAATCTCCCTTTCCGCCAAATGCTGCTGGAACAATCCATATACCACCCCCCAAAAGTAAAATTAGTAACAATAAAATAAGTACCTTTTCAAAGGTAGCATGGTCCTAGTCAAAGTACTGACATCTTCATCTATGGACCCGTGTAGAGAGCCCAGATAGAAACCCACACACTAGAGTCAATGGGTAGCGCAGTGGATTAACTGTTGGACAGTAACCCACTAGCCACTTCTTGGAGGCAACAGATGTAGCAATCTGGGTCCACAAAGATTTCCTACCTTGGAATCTTCTGCTCTGGTCTCCCAAACAACACGTTAGAGAGCCTGCCTTGTGCCCATGAACATGTACCACCCCTGTTACATACCTCCGCAGCAGTCAGCTTTTCAAGATGGGGGGACAGGGAGGAGACCATTCAGTTGCTACAACGTTGTGCTAAGGTCACCCCAAATGAACAGACACTCCTGCAAGAGGGAGAGGTAACCTTACTAGTCCAGCGGTTCGCCACCGTCCTAATGCCACGGCCCTTTCACACAGTTCCTCGTGTTGTGGTGACCCCCAGCCATAACATTATTGTCGTTGTTACTTCATCACTGTCATTTTGCTACTGTTAGGAATAGTCATGTAAATATTTGGTATGCAGGATGTATTTTCATTGTCACAAATTGAACATAATTAAAGCATCGTGATTCATCACAAAAGCAACATGTATGCTATATTGTGAAATATTTATTTCCTTTTTTTTTTAAACATTTTATTAGGGGCTCATACAACTGTTATCACAATCCATACACACATCAATTGTGTAAAGCGCAT